GGGCGTCAACAGGAGGGAGCGGGGCGTCAACAGGAGGGAGCGGGGCGTCAACAGGAGGGAGCGGGGCGTCAAAAGGAGGGAGCGGGGCGTCAACAGGAGGGAGCGGGGCGTCAACAGGAGGGAGTGGGGCGTCAACAGGAGGGAGCGGGGCGTCAACAGGAGGGAGTGAGTGGGGCGTCAACAGGAGGGAGTGGGGCGTCAACAGGAGGGAGTGGGCGTCAACAGGAGGGAGTGGGGCGTCAACAGGAGGGAGTGGGGCGTCAACAGGAGGGAGTGGGGCGTCAACAGGAGGGAGCGGGGCGTCAACAGGAGGGAGTGGGGGCGTCAACAGGAGGGAGTGGGGCGTCAACAGGAGGGAGCGGGGCGTCAACAGGAGGGGAGCGGGGCGTCAACAGGAGGGAGCGGGGCGTCAACAGGAGGGAGTGGGGCGTCAACAGGAGGGAGTGGGGCGTCAACAGGAGGGAGCGGGCGTCAACAGGAGGGAGTGGGGCGTCAACAGGAGGGAGTGGGGCGTCAACAGGAGGGAGTGGGGCGTCAACAGGAGGGAGTGGGGGGGCGTCAACAGGAGGGAGTGGGGCGTCAACAGGAGGGAGTGGGGCGTCAACAGGAGGGAGTGGGGCGTCAACAGGAGGGAGGGGGCGTCAACAGGAGGGAGTGGGGCGTCAACAGGAGGGGAGTGGGGCGTCAACAGGAGGGAGCGGGGCGTCAACAGGAGGGAGCGGGGCGTCAACAGGAGGGAGTGGGGCGTCAACAGGAGGGAGCGGGGCGTCAACAGGAGGGAGCGGGGCGTCAACAGGAGGGAGCGGGGCGTCAACAGGAGGGAGCGGGGCGTCAACAGGAGGGAGCGGGGCGTCAACAGGAGGGAGCGGGGCGTCAACAGGAGGGAGCGGGGCGTCAACAGGAGGGGGCGGGGCGTCAACAGGAGGGAGCGGGGCGTCAACAGGAGGAGCGGGGCGTCAACAGGAGGGAGCGGGGCGTCAACAGGAGGGAGCGGGGCGTCAACAGGAGGGAGCGGGGCGTCAACAACAGGAGCGGAGGAGCGGCGTCAACAGGAGGGAGCGGGGCGTCAACAGGAGGGAGCGGGCGTCAACAGGAGGAGCGGGGCGTCAACAGGAGGAGCGGGGCGTCAAAGAGGAGGGGGGCGTCAACAGGAGGGAGTGGGGCGTCAACAGGAGGGAGTGGGGCGTCAACAGGAGGGAGTGGGGCGTCAACAGGAGGGAGTGGGGCGTCAACAGGAGGGAGTGGGGCGTCAACAGGAGGGAGTGGGGCGTAAACAGGAGGGAGCGGGGCGTCAACAGGAGGGAGCGGGGCGAAGAAGGAGCGAGAGACCCAAGCTCACGTGCATTGCTTGGCGAGCTTCGGAATGAGCGTCGTTCATATAGAATCCCCCGCATTTCGCGACAAGCTTCAAATTGTCCAGCTTCGGGCAGCTCGCACCAACACTTGCCAGCAGCTCACTTACACGCTCAGTGATATGATGTGATTAAAAAAATCGTTGAAATCTTTGAGACATTGGCGCAACGTGCGATAAGAGGCTGAGCGAGTGGGGCATGCGGCGGGAGAGGCTGAGCGAGTGGGGCATGCGGCGGGAGAGGCGGCGGAGGCGTGAGCAGGAGAGAGCGACGCTGCAGCGATCGCAGGGTTAGTTCACTCGGGCGAGCAGCAGCACAAGGAGCTCGTCCAGCACAAGGAGCTCGTCCAGCACAAGGAGCTTCCAGCACAAGGAGCTCGTCCAGCACAAGGAGCTCGTCCAGCAGGCGACCGCCTTTCACTTCATCCTTTAATGACACTTTTCAACGCGTTCTTTTCGTTTTTCCCCCGACACAGCTCCTCCATCCACTGCTTTCATGAATGCCCTTTACACCAGGGCCCAGGGCCGGATGCCAGGCACATAGAGGTACAGCTCCTCCATCATCCCCTTGGCCCGCGCCTTCACCTCCTCGTGTGCCTCCTCGTCCCCCCACCCCATCTCCCTCTCATGCGCCTGCACCACCGCACTCAGCGCCTCCACGTAGTCCGTCAGCGCGTTGCCCACTCGCACCGCCTCCTCCCCTCCTGCTGCCGCCGCCGCTGCCAGCGCTGCCACTGCCGCAATCTCTCGCTCTGCCTTGCGCTGCTCCCTCTCTCGGGCCAGCTCTCTGGGCGTGGGATGAGCGCCGCCGGGAGTGGCATCGCCACCAGCAGCACCATCTACAGCAGCAGCAGCAGCAGCAGCAGCAGACGAACCTTCATCCTCACCCTCCTCTCCTCGTGCATAACACACTCCCACGCCTCCCCCTGTCACGTCCCCACCCGTGCCCCCATCCAGCAGCCCGTAGCGGGCGAGGGCAGCAAGGGTCTCAGGAGGGGTGGCGAGGGCAGCGTCTTCCAGCCACGCCAGCAGCGGCGCCAGCGGCTTCCCCACGCCCTCCACGCCCTCCCGTGCCGCCTCTGCCGCCGCCACCACCTCCCCCATGGCCCGCACCACATGCTGGCTCGCCACGCCCTCCGCCCACCGCCACCCGCCTCTACTCCCCTCCCCTGCACCTCCTCCCTCTCCGCCTCCTTTTGCTCCTTTGCCTCTCTCTAGCCCTCTTCCTGTGTCTGTGTAGGCCTCTCCTGCTTTGTATGTCCCTTTACTTCTCCCTCCTCCCCCTCCTCCCCCCCCCCCCCCAGCAGGGCGTTCCTTGAGGGAGCGCAGCAGCGGCAGTGCCTGCACCTCGTCCATGGCATCCAGGCTGGCCGCCGCCACCTGCAGCAGCACACGCCACCGCCCCCACCCTTCCCCCCTCCCCCCACCACTCCCACTCCGCCTGCCCCGCCTCCCCCGCCCCCCCATGCCCCACAGCACATGATCCTCATCCACATCGTACCCCTGCACACCACTCTCACTCCTCCTCCCACCATCCCCCTTCTTCGTCCCATCCTCCTCCAAGCTACCGCCAGTCTTAGCGCGCCACGTGGCGACGAGCTGCGTGAGGCGCCTGGTCCATTGCATGCTCTCATCTAAGACGAGTTCCAGGGGGGACGCCTCCACCGTGTGGGTGGCCACCACTGGCAGGTGCAGCTGCAGCGAGGGGAAGCGCGGATGCACCGTGAGCACCATGCGGTGCCGCCACACGGGGAACACCGCACCCCGCCCCAATGCACTTCCACTCGTGAAATCATCCGCAATCTCGCAGGAAGCATCCCCCAATGCGCCGCTGCCCATGCCATAGCCCATCCCCCCAGCGCCCCCAAATCCCAATTCCAACAGTCTCATCCCCTCCTCTCCCCCTGCGCCACCACCCGCTCTGCCCTCGCCTCCCCCTTCCACCAGCCCCTCAATGGCAGCGGCAGCAGCAGCAGCAAGCGCGGACGGCGGCATGCCGAACTGGAACGCCCTGAGAGGCCCTCTGCCGCTGGCGCTGGCGCCAAAGAGCTCGTCCAGGTCGCCCCTGGCCGCGCCCTCCTTGCCCTCTCTCAACCCCTCCTCCCCCTCAGGCAGGCCTGGGGGAGGGTCAACTGGGGCGGGGTACACTGGCACGACCTGCACGGTGCACAGCTGCGAGTGGCGCAGGTGGTGGGGTGTGAGTATGGGCGATGTGATGATGCGCAGCGACGTGCTGCTGCCCAGGATGCGGTCGTAGATGCCCCTCAGCCGCCTCACCAGGTCTGCTGCTGATGTGCCTCTGGGGGGGAGGGAGGGGTGGAGTGAGATGTGGGAGGAGAGGAGGGATGGTGGAAGAAGAGCAGGGTGAGCATGGAGCATGGGCCGTAGTGAGTGTGGGGGCTGTATTGACAGTTGAATGCGAATGGCATGGCACGTCTCTTCACCTGCCCGTGGCGTGGCCAGGCGTGCCCCCTGCTTCCCATCACCTCATCCTGCCTCCCTCGCCCACCACCACGCCCACCTCACCACACCACACCACGCTGTGCCGTGCCCTGCCCACCTCAGCACACCACACCACGCTGTGCCGTGCCCTGCCCACCTCACCACACCACGCTGTGCCGTGCCCTGCCCACCTCACCACACCACGCTGTGCCGTGCCCTGCCCACCTCACCACACCCTGCCGTGCCCTGCCCACCCACCGCGGCTCCTTGTACACGAACTGCCGTCCGTTGAACCCCGCCCCAAACCGCTCGCCATAGAAGGCCACCAGGAAGAAGCTCGCACCGTGCACACACGACTGCTGGCACCCACCTTCCCTCAACCCCTCCTCCCCGCCCCCTCCAGGCCTCTCAGTCAGCAGCAGGTACGACGCGGCTAAGCGCCGGTGGCAGCGGGAAGCTGCAGAGAAGTTTCCGTGCGCTTTCCAGAAGGGCAACAGCAGCTCCTGCAGGTGAAGGGCGAAGGAATGCAGACCAGCCGAGGCGAAGAGAGAGGAAGCTTCCTCGAGGAGCGAGGCAATGAAGAGGGGGTTGACATGCAGGTACCCCGCCACTCGCCCCGCCACCACCACCACCACGCTCTCCTCCTCCTCTCCACCGCCACCGCTGCCGCCACCACTCTTCTGCCCCCCCTTGCTCCTCCTCTTGCTCGTCACAGTGCCTCGGTTGGAGGCGGCGCGGAGGAGCCCCGGGGCGAGCAGGGGCAGGTCGGGGCACACCAGAGCCAGCGCCCCCACGTGCTGCTGCCCCCACACCACGTGGCTGCCCCGCTGCCCTCCAGCGCGAGAGAAGAACCCCGGCGCCACCACTGCCTCGTCGCCTGCTTCATTGCCTCCCCTCTCTGCACCCATCGTGCTCCTGCTACTGCTGCTGCCGGTGCTGGTGGTGGTGGTGCTTGTGGTGGCACTGCGGGCACCAGCATCACCCGATGCAAAGTGTGTGGTGGAGTGATCGCGGGGCGGGTGGGGGTGGAGGGCGAGCAGGTACTGCAGCGCCACAGCAGCGGCGGCCACGCAGCACTGCCCCGCCTCCGCCGCGCCTCCCAGGGGGTCGAGGTGGCGGTGGGCGAGGGCGAGGCGCAGCAGGAAGAGCACGTGCAGGTCGGGCGCGTGCGAGCACGCAGAGGCGCAGTGCAGGTACCCCTCCACCACCGCCTGCCTGTCCTGCACTGCTGACTGCGCCTGCTCGGGAAGGGGGTGAGCGGGGGGGAGCAACAGTGGGAAGTTGGGTGAGAAGAGATGGAGCCACGGCGGAGGGGCGGCACACAGTGCTGTGCGTGGGGGCGAGCACGCAGTGCTGTGCGTGGGGGCGAGCACGCAGTGCTGTGCGTGGGGGCGAGCACGCAGTGCTGTGCGTGGGGGCGAGCACGCAGTGCTGTGCGTGGGGGCGAGCACGCAGTGCTGTGCGTGGGGGCGAGCACGCAGTGCTGTGCGTGGGGGCGAGCACGCAGTGCTGTGCGTGGGGGCGAGCACGCAGTGCTGTGCGTGGGGGCGAGCACGCAGCGCCGCCGTGCAGCTTGCCCTCCACCACCGCCTGCCGGTCCTGCAGTGGCGAATAGGCCTGTGGAGGAGACAGGGCCAAGGAGGGCAAGTATGGGAGAATGGGGTGAAATGGTGGGGAGTGGGAGGAGATGCAGCAGAGGAAGAGTTGGAGGGCGGGAGCAGAAGGCGACTGGGGTTGCCCATGTTGAGGAGAAGAATGTTTTGCGCTTTAAACAGAAAACAGAAAACAAACAGGTGTGCTGTCCAGCAGTGGCAACATGGCCTGCCCAGCGGGAGTGGTGGGGCTTGGCATTGGAATGGCAGCAGTGGGCATGGTTGTGTGAGCGAGGCATGGTCCTGCCACTCACCATGTCATCGAGCTCCTGCCATGCGGCCACGGCATGGCGCAGCACGGCGGAGAGCGCCTTGACCTCGCCCCACCGCCACCGCCTTGCCAGGTCCGCCAGCACCTGCTCGCCCAGCCCTGCCGCCCCCAGCACCCTCCTGCCCTGCGTGCCCGACCCCACCATCCTCAGCACCGCTCTGAACCGCTCCTCGTGCTCCTTATCCCACTCACGCTGCTCGCCCCACCTTGCTGCCCCTCCTCCTGCTGCTCCTTCTCCATCTCTCCTCACGGGCCTAACCTCCTGCTCACCATTCCAAGACTTCTCACTAATATCCTCCTCCTCCGTCCCCTCCTCGACTATCCCCCTTCCCCAACTGTCAAGCCCCCCTTCCCCCCTCGCTTCCGTTTCTCCTCTGCCGAACCTCCTGGGTCTCCCCGGACCTGTTCTGGGCTCGTCTACAGGCAGCCCTGCCGGACCTATACCGGCGGGATCCAAGACTGCTGGCGAGCCAAGGTGCAGGGCTTGGGCCATAGGTGGTAGTGCAGCAGGAGCAGACGCCATGGCAGGTGGGCAGGCAGCAGCGTGCGCAGATAGCAAGGAGGGCGGGGAGGAGAAAGGCAGAGAGGAGGGGTCCCAGGAGGGGGCGAAAGAGGAGACACCAGAAGCAGGGCGGAGGGGGTCGGAGGCAGTGAGGGCCACGCAGGCTAGAGGGCCAGAGGGATCATCGGAGGCAGACCACAGGGAGCATCGCTGCTGCTCCTGCTCCTGCTCTTGCTCCGCCTTGCCTCCCTTTCCTCCTCCTCGTCCCTCTGCTCTCCCCTCTCCCCCATGCTGCCAATCGCTCCTTTTAACCCTGTGACTGCTGCGAGCAGTGGAAGGGCCATGCCTGTCATCGGAGGTCGGGCTGTGCCCGTCGGGATGAAACCAGTGGCGCTCGCTTGAGCCAGGCAGGGCGTGGGCGGTGAGGTCAGCCCAGCCCCCCACACTGCCCGCTCTCACGCGCCCCACTCTCGGCCGCTGGGTTTGATGTGAGGGGGGTAGCAGCAGGCCGCCCCCATGGCTCTGGGATCGTGTGTGTACGTGTGCTGTGTGCTGTGCGCCGCTGTTGCTGCTGCTGTTGTTGTTGTGGTGTTGGAGGGTATTGTGAGCGGTTGCAGAGGCAGTGCCAGCAGCAGCAGCAGCAGCGGCGGCGGCGGCGGCGGCGGCGGCAGCAGCAGCGGCAGAGCCAGGGGGAGGGGGTAAGGGGGAGAATGATGAGTTGCTGAGAGCGTCAGGAGCAAGAGAGAAGGACCGACGATGCTGCTGCTGAAGCTGTTGCTGATGCTGCTGATAATCATGGTGAGGAGCAAAGGCACCAGCAGCAGCACCACGTGCTGTGTGCGCCCCTCCTCTCCATCCCGGAGGAGGCTTGAGAGCAGAGGGAGCAGGGTGAGTCGGGTGAGTGGGGTGAGAGAGTTGAGTGGACTCTGTAGCTTGATGTGTGGGGATGGGGTAGTCGGGGGAGGGGGGCGAGATGGGGAGGATAGAGGAGGGGGAGTGATGCGGGTAGAGGGGAGTGCAGGGGCGAGTGAGGAGGTCGATGGAGGAGAGAGTGAGAGAGACGGTGATGGCAGCGACTGTGCCACTCTCCCTCACTGAGTCCTGCAACGGGGGTTGGGACATGGGGGAGGGGTGGTGGAGGGAAGATGGGGGAGGGAGCAGGCGGAGGGGTATGGTATGATAGCGTGCAGGTGTGTGCAGCACATGGTGGTGGGTGGTGGTGCAGATTGGATATCCAAAAGTAAGTGGATGAGAAGAGGGCCCATGCAGGGGCGGATTTGCGTAAGGACGGAGGGGAAGGAGGGAGGGAGAGAGGCAGAGAAGGGCAGCAAGGAGCCAGGCGGGCCAGCGGGCAGGCAGGCGCCAGGGGGGAGGGCAGGAGGGCAGGAGGGCAGGAGGGCAGGAGGGCAGGAGGGCAGGAGGGCAGGAGGGCAGGAGGGCAGGAGGGCAGGAGGGCGTACGGCGATGAGGAGCAGGAGCCCCACGAGCGCCCTCTCCCTGACGGCTGCGTGGGCAGCAAAGACAGCGCAGTGCAGCAGCCAGTGCGTCATGTTCTTCACCAGCCGCCCGTTGCTGCGCTTGCCCAATAGCAGCGCTCCGTGCCTCGCCACCTGATGGCGTGCGGATGGCCACATGGATGACATGGTGGAAAGAGAAAGGTACTCGGAATAGCCACGCGCATTGAATCTGCTCGTTACTGGCACGCCAATTCGTGCCAGCGTCTACCACCAGAGACACACCTATTACACCAGCGCAACTCGTACCAGTTTGAGCAGAAGAGGGACGAAGCTGCTCCAGTGCTCCGGGGAGAGCAGAGCCTGGTGGGTCTTGACGAAGGGCGCCCACACCAGCTCCTCCACCTCCCCCGCCGCCACTGCGCCTCTCCCCGCCCTCACCACCCCCTCAGATAACACCTCCACCACACACAACACCTGCCCCTGCTCTTCCACTCGTCTTGCCTCTCCCCTCTTGTGTGTTTCCGCATCACAACCCCCTCCTCTGCGCCCCCCCGCCCCTTCCCCCCCGCCTTCCTCCCCCGGTTCACCCTGGAAGGAGCGAGGCGGAGAGGGTGACGGGAGGAAGAGGGGGAGGGGAGGAGAGGGAGGGGAGGAGGGTGTGGGGTGCGGAGGGGCTGAACAAGGGGAGGTGACGGGGCAGCAGGCGGGTGGTGTGGTGCAGAGGTGGGGAGTAATGTGGGGTGGGGAGTAAGTAATGTGGGGTGGGGAGTAATGTGGGGTGGGGAGAAGGAGAGAGAGAGAGGTAGGGGAAGAGACGAAAAGTAGTGGGGTGAAAGAATTGGGGGGAAGGATGTGGGGGCCAACAGATGGGGGTACAGGTGGTGGGCGCGAAGGGGGGGAGAAGTGCGGGGAGGCGCGAACACGCGGGGCTGCGCTCACCAACTCCGCAGCAACGAGGCGCGCCACCACCCCCCAGCTCGCCTGCCACACCGCGCTCGCCGACTCCGCCGCGCGCGCTCGTAGGGGGAACAGCGCGGAGCGCAGCTTGCGCTTCTCGCGCGCAGACAGCGCCTCGTACACCTCCCGCACTCCCCTCTCCGCCGCAACGGGATGCGGGGCTGGCGCGGAGTTCCCGGAAGAACCCCCGGATGGCGCGGAAGTGGCAGACGGCGCGGACGGCGGGGCGGCAGCCCGGCGGGGCGGGTCTTTCAAGGGAAGAGGGATGGAGGAAGGGTCGGAAAGGCGCGGAGGGTTGGCAATGCGCGGGAGTCGCGCGGAGGAGGCAGACGAGAGCGTCCATTGCTGCGCGTGGGTGCGTTCCGCGTGCATGCAGACCGACGGCTCGGCGTGCTTCTGCGGAATCTTCGTGGCATCACAGCAGAAGTCACCAGACCTCGTTGAGCGTGCTATTGCGGTTTAGTCTATGACAAGACTCGACGTTCAAACGTCGGATGGGTTGTGTAGTGGGTTTCACTTTATGGTCATACTTAAAGCCAGCAGGCAAAATAGTGACCCCCCCCTTCTAGTTGGGTCCAACTTGAATCTTCTTTTTTGCATAAGATAGAAATATATCGAGCTTCACAGCAACCGAGCAGGGCTGGTGTACCCAAACGTTTGGGCAGGAATCACGACCAATCAAGAGCATCGCCCCAATGTGCAGAGACACAAACGGGCCCATATGGTTTTCGCACAGTAGTGCGACTGTGTTCCGCCGCTCCCAATCAACAAACTGACCACCCACCCAACGTTTCCTAGAGCAACACAACACACACTGGATACGCCCTACCAAAATACTACGCAAACTCGACACGCCAAGCACACTCACTCTCATATTGCCAACACCCAGCCGCATTCCTCTCGCACGCTGCCGTCCACAGCTAAAGACGTTACGGTAATTAGTCCAGCAAAAGTAGACGTCCACTGCATTCGACCGAGACTGGGGTCTGACGCGGAGGGCCGGCCGCTGGATCGCCTATACCTCCGCTATTCCCCGACTCTTCAGCTATTGTACGCATTGCATGGATACTATATGGTGACAGTCACACATATGCATAGGGTTTAGGTCGACGAAATAGGCGAGCGAAATGCTGCCCGTCTCTGTCTGACGGGCAGCATTCGCGCGCACGGCGGAACGCGCCTGTCTGACGGGCAGCAAACGACGAAATGCCCAACGGGCACGCGAAATGCCGTCTCTGTCCGACGGTTATCATTCCGCGCGCATGGCGGAATGCGCATGTCTGACGGGCAGCCACCGCGAAACGCGCAGCGGCCGCGCGGAATGCTGCCCGTCAGACAGTGACGCATTGCATGCGCGCGCAGGGCAGAGTGCGGCTGTCTGACGGGCAGCCCCCGCGCGAAATGCTCAGCGGGCGCGCAAAGTGCTGCCCGCTGGGACTGTCGGGAGGCATTCGCACGAAATGCACTACCGCGTCAGTCTGACGGGCAGCAGTCGCGCGAAAATGCTAATGTGCGTCAGCAATACGCGCTGCAGGCGCCTGAATAACGGTAAGGCTGACGTGCAGCAGGCGCATGACTAGCTGCGCCTCGCTCAGCTGGCCGGTATCCCCAACATTGACGTCAACATCCCCTGGTCCCACAACCGCATGCTCCCCTTTCACCATCCTCTGTTCCCCCATACCCCGTTCCCCCAATCCCTGCCCCCTCATTCCCTGTTCCCCCATTCCATGTCCCCCAATTCCCCGTCCCCCCATTCCCTGTTCCCCCATTCCCTGTCCCCCGCTCCCTGCTACCCCATTCCCTGTTTCCCAAACGAGCAGCTCGCCCAATCCCTGTCCCCCAAACCCCTGCCCCCCCATTCCATGTTCCCCCATTCTCTGCTCCCCCATTTCCCTGTTCCCCCATTCCCCCTCCCCCATTCCATGTTCCCCCCATTCCCTGTCCCCCCATTCCCTGCTCCCCCATTCGCAGTCCTGTCCCCTCATTCCTGGCTCCCCCATTCCCTCTTCTCCCACTCCTTATCCCCCACTCCCTTATCCCCCATGCCCTGCTCCCCCCTTCCCTGCTCCCCCATTCCCTGATCCCCACCATCCCTGCTCCCCCATTCCCTGTTCCCCATTCCATGTTCCCCCATTCCCTGCTCCCCCATTTCCCTGTTCCCCCGTTCCCCCCTCCCCCATTCCATGTTCCCATTCCCTGTTCCCTCATTCCCTGCTCCCCCATTCGCAGTCCCCCCATTCCCTGCTCCCCCATTCCCTGTTCCCCCATACCCTGCTCCCCCATTCCCTGCTTCCCCATTCCCAATCCCCCGATTCCCCGTCCCCCCATTCACTGCTTCCCCATTCCCTGCCCCCTCATTCCTTGTTCCCCCATTCCCTGTCCCCCATTTCCCGCTCCCGCATTCCCTGTCCCCTCATTCCCTGCTCCCTTTCAGCCTTTCTCCCCCATTCTTGGTCCCCCATTCCCCGCTCCCCGGTTCCCTGTCCCCCGATCCCTAGTCCCCCCATTCCTGCTCCCCCATTCCCCGCTCCCCCATTCCCTATCCCCCAATTGCCTGCCCCCCCATTCCCTCCACCCCCATTACCACCTCCCCCATTCCGTGTTCCCCTATTCCCTGCTCCCCCATTCCCTGTTCCCCTATTCCCTGCTCCCCCATTCCCTGTTCCCCGGATTCTCCGTCCCCCCATTCTCTGTCCCCCCATTCCCTGTTCCCCCATTCCCAGTTCTCCCATTCCTGCTCCCCCTTTCCCTGATCCCCCATTTCCTGCTCCCCCATTCCCTGCAAAACCCATTCGCAGTCCCCCCATTCCCCGTCCCCCCATTCCTTGCTCCCCCATTCCCTGTTCCCCCATTCCCTGCTCCCCCATTCCCTGCTTCCCCATCCCCAGTCCCCCCATTCCCCGTCCCCCCATTCCCCGTCCCCCCATACTCATTACCCCCATTCCCTGTACCCCCACCTCCTGTTCCCCCATTCCCTGTACCCCCACCTCCTGTTCCCCCATTCCCTGTACCCCCACCTCCTGTTCCCCCATTCCCTGTACCCCCACCTCCTGTTCCCCCATTCCCTGTACCCCCACCTCCTGTTCCCCCATTCCCTGTACCCCCACCTCCTGTTCCCCCATTCCCTGTACCCCCACCTCCTGTTCCCCCATTCCCTGTACCCCCACCTCCTGTTCCCCCATTCCCTGTACCCCCACCTCCTGTTCCCCCATTCCCTGTACCCCCACCTCCTGTTCCCCCATTCCCTGTACCCCCACCTCCTGTTCCCCCATTCCCTGTACCCCCACCTCCTGTTCCCCCATTCCCTGTACCCCCACCTCCTGTTCCCCCATTCCCTGTACCCCCACCTCCTGTTCCCCCATTCCCTGTACCCCCACCTCCTGTTCCCCCATTCCCTGTACCCCCACCTCCTGTTCCCCCATTCCCTGTACCCCCACCTCCTGTTCCCCCATTCCCTGTACCCCCACCTCCTGTTCCCCCATTCCCTGTACCCCCACCTCCTGTTCCCCCATTCCCTGTACCCCCACCTCCTGTTCCCCCATTCCCTGTACCCCCACCTCCTGTTCCCCCATTCCCTGTACCCCCACCTCCTGTTCCCCCATTCCCTGTACCCCCACCTCCTGTTCCCCCATTCCCTGTACCCCCACCTCCTGTTCCCCCATTCCCTGTACCCCCACCTCCTGTTCCCCCATTCCCTGTACCCCCACCTCCTGTTCCCCCATTCCCTGTACCCCCACCTCCTGTTCCCCCATTCCCTGTACCCCCACCTCCTGTTCCCCCATTCCCTGTACCCCCACCTCCTGTTCCCCCATTCCCTGTACCCCCACCTCCTGTTCCCCCATTCCCTGTACCCCCACCTCCTGTTCCCCCATTCCCTGTACCCCCACCTCCTGTTCCCCCATTCCCTGTACCCCCACCTCCTGTTCCCCCATTCCCTGTACCCCCACCTCCTGTTCCCCCATTCCCTGTACCCCCACCTCCTGTTCCCCCATTCCCTGTACCCCCACCTCCTGTTCCCCCATTCCCTGTACCCCCACCTCCTGTTCCCCCATTCCCTGTACCCCCACCTCCTGTTCCCCCATTCCCTGTACCCCCACCTCCTGTTCCCCCATTCCCTGTACCCCCACCTCCTGTTCCCCCATTCCCTGTACCCCCACCTCCTGTTCCCCCATTCCCTGTACCCCCACCTCCTGTTCCCCCATTCCCTGTACCCCCACCTCCTGTTCCCCCATTCCCTGTACCCCCACCTCCTGTTCCCCCATTCCCTGTACCCCCACCTCCTGTTCCCCCATTCCCTGTACCCCCACCTCCTGTTCCCCCATTCCCTGTTCCCCCACCTCCTGTTCCCTCATTCCCAGTTCCCCCATTTCCTGTTCCCTCATTCCCTGTTCCCCCATTTCCTGTTCCCTCATTCCCTGTTCCCTGGATTCTCCGTCCCCGCATTCTCTGTCCCCCGAATCCCTGTCCCCAGATTCCCTGATCCCCCATTCGCTGCTCCCCCATTCCCTGGTCCCCACTTTCCCTGCTCCCCCATTCCATGTCCCCCGTTTCCATGTACCCCCATGCCCTGAGTGGGAAATCCTTGCTCCCCCATTCCCATGTTGTACCCACATGCCACGTCCCCCAATTCCCCTCTCCCCCATTCCCCTCTCCCCCATTCCTTGCTTCGGTATTCCCTGCTCCCCCATTCCCTGTACCCCCTTTTACTGTCCCCCATTCCAACCTTTCCCATTCCCTGCTCCCCCATTCCGCCCTCCCCCATTCCCTAATTCCCCATCCCCTGATCCCCCATTCCCTGATCCCTCACACCCAGTACACGTCAGTTATGTCACCTTCTATCCAGCGTTCATGCATTCTTATGCTGCCCGACTCATTCGTCTGAAATCACTCTCACCTGCCACACCAACCCCCAGTTGCCTGTAGGAACCCCACTAAGATCGCTGTCACCTCCTCAACTGATAGCAGTGGGCCTATAAGCTACGTTCGTGACTAGATCTTCTTGCCAGGTTAGGCCCGTAACTCAACCGCCAAGCCTTGAGGTTTAGTCGATCTCACTGACTACAGCCCTCTTGTGAGTAACACTGCCTCGTTCTTGCACTGAATGTTCAATCCAAGTACCTTCCAAGTTTCAAGCACACGAGTCTTAGTCATTCTCCCACGGTATCTTTTGTGAAAAACACAATACTGCCATGTTCCCCCAGGTCCTGCTCCCCCATCCCCTGTTCCTCCAACCCCCGCTCCCCCATTCCCTGATCCCCACCATCCCTGCTCCCCCATTCCCTGTTCCCCCATTCCCTGTCCCCCGATTCCCTGTCCCCAGATTCCCTGATCCCCCATTCCCTGCTCCCCCATTCCCTGCTCCCCCATTCCCTTCTCCCCCATTCCCTGGTCCCCTCATTCCCATAACCCCCATTTCCTGCTCCCCATTTCCCTGTTCCCCCATTCCCGCTCCCCAATTCCCTGTCCCCCGTTTCCTGTCCTCCCATTTCCTGAGTGGGAAATCCCTGCTCCCCCATTCCTTGCTCCCCCATTCCCTGTCCCCCAATTCCCCCCTCCCCCATTCCCTAAACCCCCATTCCCCGATGGGGAAATCCCTGCCCCCCATTCCATGCTCCCCCATTCCCTGTCCCCACATTCTCTGCTCGCCCATTCCCCGTTACCCCATTCCCTGTTCCCCATCCCCTTTTCCCCCATCCCCCGCTCCCCCGTTCCCTGCTCCCTCATTCCCTGTTCCCCCATTCCCCGCTCCCCCATTCCATGTCCCCCGTTTCCCTCCAACCCATTTCTTGAGTGGGAAATCCCTGCTCCCCCATTCCCCGCTCAACTGATCCTCGTCCCCCAATCACAGCCCTCCCTTATTCCCTGATCCCGCATTCCCTGATGGGAAATCCCTGCCTCCCCATTCCATGCTCCCCCATTCCCATTCCCCACATTCTCTGCTCGCCCATTCCCCGTTACCCCATTCCCTGTTCCCCCATCTCCTGCTCCCCCATTCCCTGCTCCCAAATTCCCTGTTCCCCCATTGCCCTTTTCCCCATTCCATGTTCCCCCATTCCCTGTCCTCCCATTCCCTGACCCCCCATTCCATGTTATCTCATGCCCTGTCCCCCTATTCCATGTTCCCCCACGCCTTGTCCCATACACAAGTACAGTAATATTTCACCATGTGCTGCCTTCACATTTCAGTCAATGCTGCCATTCCTTTATGCTCACAGCTGCTGTCACACTATACTCACTGCCTCCGGTTCAATACTCTTACTGCTGCCTACGCATGTAGAGCTCTGTGGCCATTGTGTTCCACACACTGCAGACATTGAATTTCACTATGTGCTGCCATTCCTGGGTCCTCTCTGCTGTCATTCGTTGAATCTATCAGCAGCCAGATGTTTGCCCTTCTGTTGCCATCCCATGACACTGTTGCCATTCTCAAACATTCACTGAACCTAAAAAGTGAGTGTAATGGGTTTGCTGCCACTCCATGGCAAGCCGTTATACCACGCCAGTAGCTATCAATCTAAACCTATTGCCCCAAAATTTGTTTCTCAGCACAACCCCCCTTTTCCACCCCCCCTCCTATTGCCCATCATTCATTACACTACACAAGAACGATTCCTACGTAGGGCTGGCCCAAGATGTCTAATACAGAGGGTGAGGTCGGTACTTCGAACACGTCGGTGGGGTTGGCCCTGAATGGTATGCTAAACAAAAGGAAGCTTTCACTTAGCGGCCATTTGACTGCACCATGGGCCATCCTACGATGCGTTGTGTTGTGAGGTTGTTTCCATTCCACAAGTGGTTCTCAAGTAAAGAGTCAAAGCGTGTCGAACACACATGTGCATGCACTGGCTATCACTTGTATGCCTTGTATGTGCGCTTACTTATCTCGCTGGATATTTGAGCACTGCAAGCGTGGGCAGGAGGTTGTTTCAGAAGACAAGTAGTTTTCAACTAATAAGATTGTAGTCTATGCGTGTCTAATACACATGTGCATTCACTGGCTATCAATCGAATGAATACGCATAAATCCCGCAACACCATCGCATTCAAAGTCGATCACTTCGGGCATCGGACTGTAGTCGTTGAACCACAACACGTCGTCCCTCCCACATCCCGTGTAATATCCCCCCGATGATGGCTCTAGGTACAGGGAGGCAATCACAACATATATCAGCCACGGAAGCACGACCTGGTCACTAGTGTCCTCTCCCAACAAATCTGAATACCCCACGTAACATCAGAAACGGTGGTTCTTATGCTCTAACTCCACGTCGTCCACACCCACATCTAGGTTTGCGCCACACGCAACTCGTACCACATTCTCCACTGTACGTTGGGTTGCAAAACGACCTACAGTATCTTCAGAGGGGAAGGATAACCAGCTGGCCGCCCACTTCTGCAAGACATCATACTGTTTTGGGACACGCCTAGCAAATTCATTGATCGTCAGCAGAACGCAGGATTCACAATGATTGGGGGCAGGCCGGAGCGTTCCCGGACCCGTCGAGTCATCCTCGGTGCTGGTCTGCTCGAAACACTGCTCGTAGACTCAACCACTTCCAATGAATTAGGAGCACTCTCCTGCTGCATCTCTTCCTCGGTCTCCTCACTATCATCCTGGTACGCCATGCGTACCCCTTCCGGCCGGCGACGCATGAGAGCTCGACATCGCGGCCTGCTCAAAACAGTGACAAGGATGAATGAGCGTGGGGTAACAAGATAACTAGCAATCAGCGATGTTTCCAAAGGGAGCAGGTGCTGCAGGCGTAGTAATGGGAAATAGGAATGGCTTACCTAACAGGCTCCCTAGTACGGACGCGCTTAGCTGTGCCCCTGCCCGTCCCTGGTCGGTGCGACATTTGCACCCTGCCCTCACACTGATGGCAGGAGGGATTGGTAGACTGGTTTGAAAGGGTGGGGAAGGGCGACGAGCATGGAGAGGGTGGCTGGGCGCTTTGTGTGCCAAATCTTGCAGTGCAACAGGACAAAGAATGGGGCACGGACAATGTGCGGCAGTTGGGAGACAACGTTGCTGCAACATGGGGACATGCTAATACATGGAGTGGGTGCAGACGCGGACAGACAGCGGTCATATAATAAGACGGTAGAACTCACATTTATGTGTGATGCGTGGGAATACGGGCTTGACAACTCAGGGTTGGAACAGGGGGGCGAGGGGGCACGACGAGCACGGAAATGAAAGAGCGTGGGATCGGGGACAGGACAGAGTGCAACACGAGGGTGGGACAGGGGTAACAGATCGTTGAGAGGAGGGAGGGAAGGGAGGGAGGGGAGTGCAAGGGGTCGAGGGAGGGCAAGGAGGGGAGAGAGGGCTTTGAAGGGATAGAGGGCTGGGAGCCAAAGTGGGGGAGGAGAGGTTCCGGAGTAGCATTTGTGACCGGTGGAGGGTTGAGAAAAGGAAGGCGGAGGGGGGAGTAAGGCAGTGTGGGGCGTGAGGGAAGTCGGAGCGGAGAGGATCTGGAGACGAGAGAAGGTCTAGGGAGGGGAGGGGCGCGGAGAGTGTTGGTGTGATGCACCTGGTTCGTCCATGAGAGTGTTGGTGTGGTGCACCTGGTTCGTCCATGAGAGTGTTGGTGTGGTGCACCTGGTTCGTCCATGAGAGTGTTGGTGTGGTGCACCTGGTTCGTCCATGAGAGTGTTGGTGTGGTGCACCTGGTTCGTCCATGAGAGTGTTGGTGTGGTGCACCTGGTTCGTCCATGAGAGTGTTGGTGTGGTGCACCTGGTTCGTCCATGAGAGTGTTGGTGTGGTGCACCTGGTTCGTCCATGAGAGTGTTGGTGTGGTGCACCTGGTTCGTCCATGAGAGTGTTGGTGTGGTGCACCTGGTTCGTCCATGAGAGTGTTGGTGTGGTGCACCTGGTTCGTCCATGAGAGTGTTGGTGTGATGCACCTGGTTCGTCCATGAGAGTGTTGGTGTGGTGCACCTGGTTCGTCCATGAGAGTGTTGGTGTGATGCACCTGGTTCGTCCATGAGAGTGTTGGTGTGGTGCACCTGGTTCGTCCATGAGAGTGTTGGTGTGGTGCACCTGGTTCGTCCATGAGAGTGTTGGTGTGGTGCACCTGGTTCGTCCATGAGAGTGTTGGTGTGGTGCACCTGGTTCGTCCATGAGAGTGTTGGTGTGGTGCACCTGGTTCGTCCATGAGAGTGTTGGTGTGATGCACCTGGTTCGTCCATGAGAGTGTTGGTGTGATGCACCTGGTTCGTCCATGAGAGTGTTGGTGTGATGCACCTGGTTCGTCCATGAGAGTGTTGGTGTGATGCACCTGGTTCGTCCATGAGAGTGTTGGTGTGATGCACCTGGTTCGTCCATGAGAGTGTTGGTGTGATGCACCTGGTTCGTCCATGAGAGTGTTGGTGTGATGCACCTGGTTCGTCCATGAGAGTGTTGGTGTGATGCACCTGGTTCGTCCATGAGAGTGTTGGTGTGATGCACCTGGTTCGTCCATGAGAGTGTTGGTGTGATGCACCTGGTTCGTCCATGAGAGTGTTGGTGTGATGCACCTGGTTCGTCCATGAGAGTGTTGGTGTGATGCACCTGGTTCGTCCATGAGAGTGTTGGTGTGATGCACCTGGTTCGTCCATGAGAGTGTTGGTGTGATGCACCTGGTTCGTCCATGAGAGTGTTGGTGTGATGCACCTGGTTCGTCCATGAGAGTGTTGGTGTGATGCACCTGGTTCGTCCATGAGAGTGTTGGTGTGATGCACCTGGTTCGTCCATGAGAGTGTTGGTGTGATGCACCTGGTTCGTCCATGAGAGTGTTGGTGTGGTGCACCTGGTTCGTCCATGAGAGTGTTGGTGTGGTGCACCTGGTTCGTCCATGAGAGTGTTGGTGTGGTGCACCTGGTTCGTCCATGAGAGTGTTGGTGTGGTGCACCTGGTTCGTCCATGAGAGTGTTGGTGTGGTGCACCTGGTTCGTCCATGAGAGTGTTGGTGTGGTGCACCTGGTTCGTCCATGAGAGTGTTGGTGTGGTGCACCTGGTTCGTCCATGAGAGTGTTGGTGTGGTGCACCTGGTTCGTCCATGAGAGTGTTGGTGTGGTGCACCTGGTTCGTCCATGAGAGTGTTGGTGTGGTGCACCTGGTTCGTCCATGAGAGTGTTGGTGTGGTGCACCTGGTTCGTCCATGAGAGTGTTGGTGTGGTGCACCTGGTTCGTCCATGAGAGTGTTGGTGTGGTGCACCTGGTTCGTCCATGAGAGTGTTGGTGTGGTGCACCTGGTTCGTCCATGAGAGTGTTGGTGTGGTGCACCTGGTTCGTCCATGAGAGTGTTGGTGTGGTGCACCTGGTTCGTCCATGAGAGTGTTGGTGTGGTGCACCTGGTTCGTCCATGAGAGTGTTGGTGTGGTGCACCTGGTTCGTCCATGAGAGTGTTGGTGTGGTGCACCTGGTTCGTCCATGAGAGTGTTGGTGTGGTGCACCTGGTTCGTCCATGAGAGTGTTGGTGTGGTGCACCTGGTTCGTCCATGAGAGTGTTGGTGTGGTGCACCTGGTTCGTCCATGAGAGTGTTGGTGTGGTGCACCTGGTTCGTCCATGAGAGTGTTGGTGTGGTGCACCTGGTTCGTCCATGAGAGTGTTGGTGTGGTGCACCTGGTTCGTCCATGAGAGTGTTGGTGTGGTGCACCTGGTTCGTCCATGAGAGTGTTGGTGTGGTGCACCTGGTTCGTCCATGAGAGTGTTGGTGTGGTGCACCTGGTTCGTCCATGAGAGTGTTGGTGTGGTGCACCTGGTTCGTCCATGAGAGTGTTGGTGTGGTGCACCTGGTTCGTCCATGAGAGTGTTGGTGTGGTGCACCTGGTTCGTCCATGAGAGTGTTGGTGTGGTGCACCTGGTTCGTCCATGAGAGTGTTGGTGTGGTGCACCTGGTTCGTCCATGAGAGTGTTGGTGTGGTGCACCTGGTTCGTCCATGAGAGTGTTGGTGTGGTGCACCTGGTTCGTCCATGAGAGTGTTGGTGTGGTGCACCTGGTTCGTCCATGAGAGTGTTGGTGTGGTGCACCTGGTTCGTCCATGAGAGTGTTGGTGTGGTGCACATGGTTCGTCCATGAGAGTGTTGGTGTGGTGCACATGGTTCGTCCATGAGAGTGTTGGTGTGGTGCACCTGGTTCGTCCATGAGAGTGTTGGTGTGGTGCACCTGGTTCGTCCATGAGAGTGTTGGTGTGGTGCACCTGGTTCGTCCATGAGAGTGTTGGTGTGGTGCACCTGGTTCGTCCATGAGAGTGTTGGTGTGGTGCACCTGGTTCGTCCATGAGAGTGTTGGTGTGGTGCACCTGGTTCGTCCATGAGAGTGTTGGTGTGGTGCACCTGGTTCGTCCATGAGAGTGTTGGTGTGGTGCACCTGGTTCGTCCATGAGAGTGTTGGTGTGGTGCACCTGGTTCGTCCATGAGAGTGTTGGTGTGGTGCACCTGGTTCGTCCATGAGAGTGTTGGTGTGGTGCACCTGGTTCGTCCATGAGAGTGTTGGTGTGATGCACCTGGTTCGTCCATGAGAGTGTTGGTGTGATGCACCTGGTTCGTCTATGAGAGTGTTGATGTTACACCCCCAGGAGTGGCGCGGCGGCGGCGAGTGTCGCGGATTGGAGACTTTGAGCAGAGAGGTGCAGAGGAGCCGATGCGTAGGGCGCTGTGTTGGCGAGGGGAATTAGAACAGGGAGGGGAGATCGGACAGAGAGAGGAGAGGGAGCAGATGGAGTTTGGAAGAGAGAATGGTAATATGGAGAAGGTGATTTAGGCGCGAGTGGACAGTCGACATCATAGCACGAGAGGGCAAGGGGTTGAGCATGGAGGTAGCTGCGTGAGAGGGCACATGGAGCGATAGGGGGAAGAAGGGTGTAGACAATTGAGGGAAGTGGGAAAGCAGGGATTATGGCATGGAGTGAAGTTACGAGGGAAACCCGGCAGTATGGAAGCGAGGCCACGGGGGGAAGTAGGGGGAAGGGCAGAAACGGGAAAAAGGGTAGTTAGGGTGTGGAAAGGGGGAATAGGGGTGTAGGGTAGTGATGGAAACTGTGTTTCTTAGGACGTTAGGTGGAGACTGCACTATGCATGAAGCAGGGTGTAAGGTGGAGCGGTGAAAGGGCGAATAAGAGTAAGGCATAGAGAGTGGTGAGGCGGAAGCAAGGAGTAGGGAAGAGTGGGGAAGGGGGAAGGCGGGTGGTATACAGAGGGGAAAAGGGGGATGAAGGGCGTAAGGCAGAGAGGGTGGACAGGCAGAAGAAGGGGGTATGGCTGAGTGGGTAATATGGGAAGGAGGACGTAGGTCAGAGGCTAACGGGGGAAGAAGGGCGTAATGCGATGAGAGGGGAAAGGGGGTTGACGGGTGTAAGGCAGAGAGGGGTGAGGGGGAAGAAGGGTGTAGGGACGAGAGGGAAAAGGAGGAAGGAGGGTGTATGGCACCGTGGGTGGAAACTTGAATGGAGGGGGTAATGCAATGTCGGTAGAAGAAGATGAAGGGGGTAGCAGCGGGAAGCAGGGCGTTAGGCAGAGAACTCATGGTGCAATAAGAAAGTGTAAGGAGAGAGGGGGAAGGGAGAAGAAGGGCGTAAGGACGAGAGGGGGAAAGGGGAAGAAGGGTGTTCGGAAGAGAGGGAAATGGGGGAAGCTGTGCCTAAGGCACCGGGGATGGTAAGGAGGTAGATAGGGGTAAGGCAGAGTGGAGATAGGGGGAAAAAGAGTGCAAGGCAGAGAGCTGGAAGTTGGAAGTGAGGCGATGGGGGGAGGATGGGCGAATGGCGGAGAAGGGAAATAGGTTTCATAGGGTGTATGGAAGTGAGGAAAAAGGGGGATGCATGGTGTGTGGGGCTGAACGCATGGTGGGGGAAGTGGGGTGTAAGGAGGCAGGGGAATGGGGGAGTCAGAGAGAAAGGCAGAGAGGGGACGGTGGGGAAGAAGAGTGTAGGGAAGAGAGGGGAAACGGGGAGGAAGAGCGGTTGACGGTGAGGGGATAGGGGGAAGCAGGGGGTAAGCTAGAGAGGGGGGAATAGGGTGTGTGGCACCGAAGACGGGCGAAAGGGGCAAAGGGTGTTGCGTACAGAGGGCGCGTCATGGGGGCGGGGTCAAGGAGAGTCGGGGGAATAGCAGAGGGGAGGAAGGGACAGACCTGGATAGTCCCGTGGGGAGGATGGGGGGTAGATGGGTATAGCCGGGGGGAGTACGATTGCTAGAGGTGGGTATCAGAGGGTAGTAAGTGTGAGAGAGGGGGATAGCCAGGCGGAGCAAGGGAGAGAAAGGGGTATACCCATGGGGACTTGGGGACACAAACGGGGTATAAGTGAGGTTAGCATTGAGGAGCGTGGGGTATAGCCGAGGGGAGTAAGGGACCGAAAGGGGTGTAGCAGAGTGGAATGAGGTAGATGGGGGGCTATTTGGGAGGGGGCTAAGGGAAGAAGGGGAAGACGGGGTGCTAAGCTGATATAAGAGTTGGGGAATAAGGATGGCGGGGAGGGGAAGTGAGGGAGAGGGGGACAAAAGAACACGGAAGAGTGGTGTAAGGGGGAAAGGGAGTAGGGAAGAGAGGGAACGGGGGGAATGAGGGCGCAAGGCAGATTGATGAGAGTTTGAATGTAGGCTGTAATGGCAGGGAGAGGAAGGGGTGAAGACGGTTGAAAGGTGGAGAAGGGAAGGGCAGGAGACGGGTAAAAGGCAGTATACCTGGGGAAGGGGGAGGTATGAAGCAAGGGAGAAAGGTGCAAAGGGTATGTAACGCAGAGAATAGGGGAAGATTGAGACGCGGCAAGGTGGGAAGGGAGACGCGGTCAGAGGGGAGGGGAGTGGTGTGGCCGCAGCGGTGAGTGCGAGGGGCTGTAGAGCATATGGAACAGGCCCCCGACAAGACCCCTCTCACATACCAAAGCAGGTTGTGTGGGGGGGCGTTTGAACCCCTTCGCACAACCGCGCCTTAGCAGCTGAATTCCTCCTCTCGCCGCCGATCTGTGTCGCTGCTCATACACACGTCGACGCGAGCCGCTGATTGCTATCTTCCACCCTGTCGTGAGGGGAAGCAGGGGGGAGAAGGAGGGGAAGCAGGGGGGAGAAGGAGGGGAAGCAGGGGGGAGAAGGAGGGGAAGCAGGGGGAGAAGGAGGGGAAGCAGGGGGGAGAAGGAGGGGAAGCAGGGGGGAGAAGGAGGGGAAGCAGGGGGAGAAGGAGGGGAAGCAGGGGGGAGAAGGAGGGGAAGCAGGGGGGAGAAGGAGGGGAAGCAGGGGGGAGAAGGAGGGGAAGCAGGGGGGAGAAGGAGGGGAAGCAGGGGGGAGAAGGAGGGGAAGCAGGGGGGAGAAGGAGGGGAAGCAGGGGGGAGAAGGAGGGGAAGCAGGGGGGAGAAGGAGGGGAAGCAGGGGGGAGAAGGAGGGGAAGCAGGGGGGAGAAGGAGGGGAAGCGGGGGGGAGAAGGAGGGGAAGCGGGGGGGAGAAGGAGGGGAAGCAGGGGGGAGAAGGAGGGGTAGCAGGGGGGAGAAGGAGGGGAAGCAGGGGGGAGAAGGAGGGGAAGCAGGGGGGAGAAGGAGGGGAAGCAGGGGGGAGAAGGAGGGGAAGCAGGGGGGAGAAGGAGGGGAAGCAGGGGGGAGAAGGAGGGGAAGCAAGGGGGAGAAGGAGGGGAAGCAGGGGGGAGAAGAAGGAATACAGTCAATGGGTATGCAGGGGAGAAGAAAGAAAGAGAGGGAGGGAAACAACGGGTAAGCAGGGGGAGTAGAATGAGTGGCAGCGGGGTAAACAATGGCTAAGACGACCAAGGCACCACGTTTCTGTCTACCCCCTCCGCTTTCCTTGATGCTAGGTAAATTGGTTATTGGCAATGGGAGGGATGGGATTGATGTTTAAGAGAGATGGCAAAGGGGGAACCAGCGGGTAGGGAAAGGGGGGAGCAGGGAGCTCGGGGACAGGGCATGGCGGAGCAGGGAAGCCTTGGGGACAGGGAATGGGGGAGCAGGGGATGGGGGATCAGGGAATGTGGGAGCAGGGAATGCTGGAACGGGGAATGGGGGGACGGGGAATAGGGGGACTGGGAATCGGGGGACAGGGAACGGGGGAGCAGGGAATGTGGGAACAGGGAATGGGGGAGCGGGGAATTGGGGAACAGGGAATGGGGGAATAGGGCATGGGGGGACAAGGAATTGTTGTGGTAAGGGCATCGGGGGACAGGAAACTTGGGAGCGGGGAATGGGGGAATAGGGAATGGGGGAGCGGGGAATGGGGGAACATGGGATGGGGGAGCGGGGAATGGGGGTGAGGGAATGGTGGAGCGGGGAATTCTGTCTTAGGGAATGCACATTGGGAATGGGGAGCAGGGACTGGGGGAGCAGGGAATGGGGGAGCAGGGAATGGGGGAGCAGGGAATGAGGGAACGGGGAACGGGGGGACGGGGATTGGGGGAGCAACACATGGGGGGAAAGTGAATTGGGGAGCAGGGTATGGGGGAGCAGGGAATGAATCTCAGGGAATGGGGGAGCAGGCAATGGGAGAGCAGGGAATGTTCGAACGGGGAAGGGGGGAACCGGGAATGGGCCGCGCGTGCTGCCCGTCAGACAGTGGCGGGCATCATTCCGTGCGCCTGCTGCCCGTCAGGCAGGGATGTCCCTCATTTCGCGCGGTTGGGTGCTCGTCACTGTCGGACAGCCGCATTGGGCAGGGCTCGCGTATCCTGGCCGTCGGACAGTGACGTCTGACGGCCGTTTTTCGCATAGCGCGCGAATGCCGCCTGTCAGACAGACGCATTACGAATTTCGCGCCTACACATCCGTCAGAAAATGACGGGCTGCATTTCTCGCATCTGCTGACCGTCTGACGTCTCGCGGACAGCATGTCGCGTCTGTGCTGCCCGTGAGACATGTCTAAAGCGGTGAGGGCGCGTACCTTGAGGCGCCCGCTGCTGGGGGATTGGGGAATGGGGGATCACGGAATGGGGCAGCAGGCCATGGGGGAAGGAGGAATGTGCGACATCGTCCACACCCTCAGCACGCTACCTCGCGGTTTCACTAAGAACGATACGGCCTGAAACTCATGGGCGTGCAGGCCGTCTGAACCCTAGTCATCACCATGGCGTGTTTCGCGGTTACCTGCGTTCCGCGGGATCGCTACCTGCTTAGTCGGCGGTTTCGATTTCGGTGCGCGAGGGTCGGAGGGAAGCGCGACGACTTGCGAGACTCCGAGGTGCGTGGGCAGGCGTGTTTGGCGATCTCCCTGACTGGTTTCTAAGCGCTTGTATTCAAGAGCGTACGTTTCGCGCATGAAGCGTTACGGCCAGGGCGATCGCACCGAGACACGCAGCGCGGGACGCCCACAACGGCGGCGATCGTCGCGATTGCGAAACGCGAGAGGAGTGGGGATCGAAGGGGACGAGACAGGTGAGAAACGCGGATATACGCCCTGCAGGGTTTCTCAATAGAGGTAATGTGCACTCAAGGTCGAACTACAGAGTGTCCTACGGAATGTCTAAAGTGTGTCTGGAATAGGCAGAATCTATCCAGGCTCGGACCTGGGGCTACGTTCACGCTAAAGCCGGCCACGGAGCTTCTTTGTTCTCTCAGCTAACGATGGGAACTAGCGGGCCCGGAAAGGGTCGTGTAACCCAAGTCCAGCTAGAAATTCGAGTGGACCCAACTTGAAAGACCGCGCAGTCCATTGACGCTCGTGCCCGGGATTGTGACCCTGTTCACACGTAGATTGGTTTCCAGCGTTCCGTGAGTGACTGCATAGCCGGTTTGCGAGCGACGTTTGTCAGTTGCCGCAACCAATTGCAAACCTCTGCCCTGACTTCCTCAATCGCTGGCCAATCATGTTGCTAAACAAGCTTGTTTCTCCCGTCAGATATGTCAGACCTAACAGTAAGTTTCCCCCCATTCCCGTGAGTGACCCATGCGGCCATTTCAAGCTGGGCCGGGGGTCACAATTTTGCAGTCTCGTTTTAAATTGTGTTGTTGTTCTTCATCAACTATATCAAGAGTATTTCATGTGCTAATATACTATATTGAATATATGAACATAGTATCGCAATGGTAAAATACATCAATATTTAACAGGACGTGGATTAAATTTTACACTCCAAGAAAAAAATGAAATGTGAAAGGTTTAATTGGATGACTGTAAGAAATTAGAATTCCTTACTGTAGCCAGTTATTAGCGAGTACATCCCGAGGGTCACGCGACGAACCTGTTCGGCCTAATTCGTCGCACCGAACCACTCCCGAGTCGGCTCCGCACCAATCGCAACCATCACCGAGCCATCTTCGCCCTACCTCTTCGCCTAGCTAGGATTTCCCCTATTTAGTCGTGCCTTTCTCATTGTATCGTCATTCTGTAGTCAACCATTCTCGTTATTCGTTTTACTGCGCACTCTGCAAGTTCATTCATAACACCTGGTATCAGAGCTACTTTCCTAGCCTACCCCGCTTTTTAGAGTGTAATACCCCTCGGGGGGGGGGGGGGGGGGGGGGGGACGAGGAAGGATGTCTTGGGGTCCAGGAGTTGCGTAGGCCGGCCAGGAGAACAAGTTAGTTGCTCCTCGCGGCTATGTTTTTACGGGGCACTCCGTTGGCACCGCCGGATCCTTCGCTCGAACGGTCGCGATCTACCGTGACCTCCCTCCCCCTGGGCAACGGACAGCTCGAGCTGTCGCGACATCAAAACGTGAGTTACTATTTCCGCTGCGGTTTTAACGACGATTTCGGAACTTTGTGAGGCAGCTGGCGTCAGCGGACCTGCGTCGGCACCTGCACGAAATTCGCGGAGTCGTTAGCGTGTGTGGTAGTTGACGACGTTGGACCCGAGTCAACAACTGCGTGACAACTTCGGAGCTCGTTGTTGAAACTAACAGACAGGAATGAGTTGCATTGAATGAAATATGGGTACTAACCCTAACTTTGGGCTGTACCCCATATGGGCTACCCCACTATTGCCTACACAGAACTAGCGCATATATAGCTTGACACACCCCCATAGGCAAAGTGGGGGAGAACAAGGGGTCACAAGACCAGTCAAGAGAAGTAAAGCAAGCTCAGGATGGATCACAACGTCACCACACACTCCGAGCACAGACAAAGGGCCACAAGACCAGTTCACATGCAGAGATACACAGAACAAAGCAAGTAGTACAGTGATCACAACCTAGCAAATATAAACATGCAAGGATAGGTATTCATAGATCACAGTACAAGCAAGGTCAAGCAGTAAGCAAGTGAGAAAACGTAGGCACGAGGCCTAGAGCAGTGCAGTGACGCTGATGATCACCAAGCGGAAGTGCCTTGGTGAATATATCAGCTGTGTTGGCCCGCGTGTCCACGTAAGCAAGACGAAGCTGGCCACGCTGCTGCAGCTCTCGAGCAAGAAAGTAACGCAGAGCGATGTGCTTCGTTCTGTGCTTCAGTCTGTGCTCCTGACACAAGGCGAGGGCCGCCTTGTTGTCGACGTATAGAACTGGAGGAGAACGAGGCCGCTCTCCCAAGTCAGTCAGCAGGTAAGTGAGCCAGCGAAGCTCCTGTGCAGCCATGGCTGTGGCGTAGATCTCAGCCTCACAACTGGAGCTGAGAACAGAAGACGAGCGAGTAGAACGCCAAGAAACAGAACCTGAGCCAAGGCTGAAGGTGTAACCCTGAGACGACCGCTGCGTAGCCAGGTCGTCAACCCAAGAGGCGTCTGAGTGTCCAGTGAGGACAACGTCACCCCATCCTCCAAGCACCAGCCCCATACCTGATGTACTGCACAAGTAGCGCAGCACCCCTCTAAGCAGCCTCCCAGTGCTCTCGCCTGTGTCTCCCAGGCGCAACGTAGCGAGCCACGATGCTAAGAGGGTATGCAAGGTCAGGTCGAGTGCAGGTCATCAGGTACATGAGGCAGCCCACAAGCTCTGGGTACGGGCCACTCGGCTCTACGGACTCGTCCGCAGGTGGAGCTGAGAGCAGGTGGCGTGTAGACAGAGGAGTGGACTGTGGTGAGGAGTACTGGAAGTCGAAGCGCTGAAGGATCTGCTGCACCATGTGTGACTGGGTCAGGGTAATGGTGCTGTGTGCTCTATCCCGGGTGATCTGCAAGCCAAGGTAGCTGCGCAACTCACCCAGGTCTGTGCAGATGTGTCTTCTACAGCTCCGACTTCACAAGGGCGAGTGCCTCAGTGTCAGCAGTGGCAAAAACCAAGTCGTCGACGTACACGAGGATGTAGAACGGCGGCAGAGAAGTGTCGGTGCGCAAGAACAACGACGGGTCAGCAGTGGATGGAGCAAACCCAAGAGCCGCAAGTGTCGTCCTCAGTGTGTCGTGCCACTCACGAGGCGCCTGGCGGAGACCGTAGACTGGCCGCCGGAGGCTCCACTGGGTACCAGGAGGGAACGACCCAGTGAAGTCAGATCTCCTCGTGTAGGATGCCATGCAAGAACGCTGTGCTGAAGTCAAGAGAGTGAAGCTCGTAGTCACGCTGAGCGGCAACGTGCAGCAGCACCCGAAGAGTGGTCATCTTCGGGGTAGGGGAGAAGGTCTGGAAGAAGTCAACTCCCTGTCGCTGACTAAAGCCTCGTGCAACGTAACGAGCCTTGAAGACAGGCGGAGAACCCGACGGCCGCTTCACCCTGAAAATCCACATGCCATCGACTATGTTCGCCCCAGGAGGGGGAACTGCGTCGACGTAAGTGCCTGTGGACTTCCAGGATGCCATCTCTGCGTCCATGGCTGTTTGCCACTGAGAGGAGTAGGGACCCGTGATCGCCTCTGCGTAAGAGCGTGGGGTCGGGATGTCCAGTGCATCCGGGTCTCCCTCAGGTGCAAGCAGCCAGGCCATGAGATGAGGTACAGCAGCCGCAAGACAGTCAAAGTCCTCCTGCCTGTCCTCAAGGACGTCCATGCCAAGAGCACACTCACCCCCGACGGACGGAGGATAGACAGACTCAGACTCAGCAACAAGACTAGTGGCGTAGTCTAGACGACACGCAGCAGCAAAGTCCACAAGCTCAGCAACTAAGGCAGACGCAGCAGTGGACTCAAAAGAAGGGTCAATGACAACAGTGGCCAGGAGTCATGTAACAGTAGGGCTGGCAGCACGAACACGGTCAGAATTAGGGTCAGGAAGCTCAGGAAGAGAGGACGCAGGAGGAGACGGCAGCGGGACGCGCTGTGGAGCAGAGGAGGGACGAAGTGCCATAGTGTGAGTGCCTGGCACAGGAGGAGGACGCGGACGCGGGACACGACGAGCGGTGCGAACAGCGCGAACAGGGGAGACAGGACGAGACGCAGGCTCACGACGCTCTGTAAGGGAGACCGGCTGCTCAGTGTAGCGGGACGGGACAGGCAACGGCGAGCCAGGAGGAAGGGCAGTGGACGAAGGAAGACTAAGAACCTGGCGGAGCACCGACTCGGGCGGAAGCTCAGACAGCTGCGGCGGCGGCTCGAAAAACGGTCGCTGCTGCACAGGGCCTCCAGATCCAGCACCTCCAGGTCCAGCAGTGTCTCCAGCTCCAGCGCCTCCAGCTCCAGCGTCTCCAGCTCCAGTGTCCCCGGCTCCAGCGCCTCCAGCGCCACCGGCTCCAGCGTCCCCAGCTCCAGGGCCTCCAGCTCCAGCGCCTCCAGCTCCAGCGCCACCAGCTCAAGTGCCTCCAGCTCCAGCACCACCAGCTCCAGTGTCTCCAGCTCCAGCGTCTTCAGGACCACTAGCTCCAGCTCCTCCGGTACCTCCAGCACCAGTGTCTCCAGCTCTAGTGCCACTAGCTCCAGCAGCGTCATTCCGAAGGCGACAGCGACTAGCGTCCCACTCGCGCAGCAGCTGTGGGGAGAGAGGCTCCCGAAGGGGAGATGCAGTACCCCCAGGCTCAGCACCCCCAGATGCAGCACCCCCAGGCTCCGCACGCTCAGGCTCAGCACCCCCAGGCTCCGCACTCGCAGGCTCAGCACCCCCAGGCTCCGCACTCGCAGGCTCAGCACCCCCAGGCTCCGCACTCGCAGGCTCAGCACCCCCAGGCTCCGTAGTCGCAGGCTCAACATCCCCAGGCTCCGCACGCGCAGGCTCAACACCCCCAGGCTCTGCACTCTCAGGCCCAGCACCCCCAGACTCAGCACCCCGAACAACACCCCCCCCAGCAGCACCTGAGTCACCAGTGACCTCGACAGGCTCAGCCAAGGGGAGTGGGTCTACCTGAGACACACCTAAAGGAGCAGGACCAGGAGGGGGGAGGGGGTCTACCGGAGGGGGACCTGGAGCGAGGAAGAGCGGCGGTGGCGGGGGGGGGGGAGCAGTGCGGTAGGGGAAGAGTCGGTAAAAGGGAACCGACTCGTCAAACGTGACGTCTTGAGAGGGGAATACGCGACGCGAGGTGGGGTGGTAAAACTGCCAGCCAGGCGCGTCAGGCACAAAGCCAAGGAAGACTTAGGGAATGGCGCGAGAGGAGAGCTTGTCCGCGGTGGTATCGCGGACAAAGGCACGAGAGCCCCAGACCCGGAACCGCGACGCATCGCCAACCTTCCCCGTCCAACGCAGTGTTGGGGAGGTCTCCGGCAAGGAGATACGGGGCCAGAGGTTGAGCTGATGCGCCGCGTACCGGACCGCAAACGGCCACAAAAAATGGGGGGCAGTCGCATGGATCATGGAGGTACGAGCGACCTCCATGACTAAGCCAATGCGGCGCTCAGCAACCCCATTCTGCTGTTGAGAGGCTGGAAGCGTGAACGACAGGAGGATGCCCTCCCTCTAACAAAAGTCCCGTAAGAGGTGGGAGGAGAACTCACCACCTCTGTCAGAGTGCAGACGCAGGACGGGAAAGTCCGTTCGGAACCATTGGCGGAGCTGGAGACGCACAGCGCGGATCCAAGGGATCAGGATAGCACGGACTTCACCCTTGCTGCGCAAGGGGAAGACCGTGGTGTAACGCGAGTAGTCGTCAACAACCAGCAGAAAGTACCGCTCGCGACCCTGTCCCTGGACGCGGGCTGGGCCCCACACGTCCATGTGGAGGGTCTGCAGGGGAGCAGTCGTCGGGGGAAACGAGGAGGAGTGAGGAGCGGCGCGCTGCCGCCCCTCGACGCAAGGAACGCAGGGCGGGGCAGGCGAGGGTGGGAGGGAAGGAAGAGACCTGGGAAGACCAGAGACAAGGAGGCGGGAGTGCATGCCACGAAGGCGTGGCAGGAAGGGGTGACCAAGGCGGTGGTGCCAAAGGAGGGTCTGGCGCGACAGGTGACGACACTCACAGGGGGAAGCTACATGACCCGACGCGGCCACCTGACCAGACGCAGCAACCTGAGGAGGCTCAGTAGTCAGTGTGTACAGACTAGACCGAGGCCGACGGGTGAACGTGGCCAGGTGACGGCCGGTCCGGGAGCACGTACAGATCGCCACACGCTGCCCTCCAGGGGTAAAGGTATCAACCCCACGCATCTTGAAGGACAGCGTTGCTCACCAAGTTCGTCGAGAACGAGGGGAGGTGGAGACCTGACAGTGAGCCGGACGGAACCGCCGGACACGGGAGTACAGTGGAGGACCGTGCAAGCACGGGACCCCCAGAGGGGTCAGCCAGGGAGACCGCAACCGGTCTAGGGAGCGGTGTGAGTGCGGTACTGTCACGAAAGAAACAGCGAGAAGCACCTGAGTCAAGAGTGAAGGTGTGCAAGGCCTCAGCAGGCGCAATACCAGAGACAGCCGACTCACTAGCACCTAGAGCAGCAGACTCTATACCTGGGTCAGGTGGCACACACAAGTAACAGTCTCCCTCAGCACTAACAGTCAATGCATACATGGCAACAAGGATAGCATCAAAGTCAAGTGCAAAGATATCAATATCGCACTTAAGCAGGTCCGCCCGGCGGGAGAGCTCCACTGCGTCAGGAAACTGGGCACGCCAAGCGTCGTCAAGGCGGGAGAAACAGCGGTACTCAGTGTGAAACTTCATGCATGTCTGACCAGCGCGGTCCCTAGTGCGAATGACGTACGGGCAGCGAGCACTACCCCCAGACGCCCCACGCTGAGCGTACCACTCACGAAGCTGCTGGGGCGTGAGGGGCTCGTGCGGACGCTGCTGCTGCTGGCGCTGGCCACCACCAGCACCTCCCTGCTGAACAGGTCCACCACGTCCGCCACTACCGCCGCCACCACCGCCGGTACCACCGCTCCCACTGCCGCCACCACCTCCGCCGCTGCCACCACCGCTGCCACCACCGCCACCGCTCCCACCACCGCCACCTCCACCACTACCACGCCCACCGCTGCCGCCACCACCGCCACCGACACCTCCACTCCCGGCACCAACCCCACCGCCACCACCCCCACCGCCTCCGCCTCCACCACCACCCCCCCCGCTGCCACCGCTGCCACCCTTGCCTCCCTTGCCCTTGCCGCTGCGGCGCTTCCGACTAGGGGCAGAAGCGGCACCGACCTCCTCAGCACCAAGGAAGTCAACAGCAGCAGCAGAGGCGTGGGAGGGGGCGAGGGGGGAGGGGGCACACCCCTCAAAGAGGGGAGTGCGGGGAGCGCCACGAGCAGCACTTACAGTGACGATGTTGGACTCAGCTGCAAGAAGTTGCTTCTCGAGGTCGTCGACTGTGAGGTCGGTGGGGGGGAGGGCGAGAAAGTGGTCCCTGACTACGCGAAGAGAGTCAAGGAGTCGGGTGACTATGAAGTAGAGTGTGATGTACATCGGGGGAGGGTTCTTGGCTAAGAACTCGGCTGGGAGGGCACGCGGCGTGCAGGCAGGGCAGCTAGGGCGTGGGGTCGCAGACGGTGGGCCCTAAAAAAAATTTCGGTCCTAGGGACCTCCTGCTCTGAAACCATGTTGAAACTAACAGACAGGAATGAGTGCATTGAATGAAATGTGGGTACAAGTACTAACCCTAACTTTGGGCTGTACCCCATATGGGCTACCCCACTATAGCCTACACAGAGTTAGCACATATATAGTTTGACCGCTTAGCCGTTCCCTCTTCGCAGCATCCCAGTGCACCTTTCGGTGCCGACCAGGAGCCACGTAGCGTGCCAAAAGGCCAAGAGGGTACGCAAGGTCAGGACGAGTGCAAGTCATCAGGTACATGAGGCAGCCCACTAACTCCGGGTAAGGACCACTCGGCTCTACGGACTCGTCCGAAGGTGGAGCTGAGAGCGAGTGACCTGTAGCCAGAGGAGTGGACTGTGGCGAGGACCAGGTGAAGCCGAAACGCTGAAGGACCTGCTGCACCATGTGTGACTGAGTCAGTGTGATGGTGCGGCGTGCTCGGTCCCGGGTGATCTGCAAGCCAAGGTAGCTGCGCAGCTCACCCAGGTCAGTGCACGTGTGTCTCTTCTGCAGCTCGGACTTCACCAGGGCGAGGGCCTCAGTGTCAGCAGTAGCAAAGACCAAGTCGTCGACGTACACGAGGATATAGAACGGCGGCAGCGAAGTGTCGGTGCGCAGAAACAGTGACGGGTCAGCAGTCGAAGGCGCAAACCCAAGAGCCGCAAGTGTAGTCCTTAGTGTGTCGTGCCACTCACGGGGTGCCTGGCGGAGACCATAGACTGGCCGGCGGAGGCTCCACTGGGTACCAGGAGGGAACGACCCAGTGAAGCCAGGTGGGCGGCGCAGCCAGATCTCCTCGTGCAGGCTGCCCTGTAGGAAAGTTGTGCTGAAGTCAAGGGAGTGAAGCTCGTAGTCACGCTGAGCGGCAACGTGCAGCAGCACCCGAAGAGTAGTCATCTTCGGGGTGGGGGAGAAGGTCTGGAAGAAGTCAACTCCCTCTCGCTGACTGAAGCCTCGAGCAACGTAACGCGCCTTGAAGACAGGAGGAGAACCCGGCGGCCGCTTCACCCTGAAAATCCACATGCCATCGACGATGTTCGCCCCGGGAGGGGGACTTCCAGGATGTCATCTCTGCGTCCATGGCTGCCTGCCACTGAGAGGAGTACTCACCCGCGATCGCCTCAGCGTAAGAGCGCGGTGTGGGGATGTCTGGTGCATCCGGGTCTCCCTCAGGGGCAAGCAGCATGGCCACGAGATGAGGCGCAGCGGCTGCAAGACACTCAAGGTCCTCGTGCCTGTCCTCAAGGACGTCTGTGCCAAGAGCACACTCACCCCCGACGGACGGAGGACAGTCAGACTCAGACTCAGCAACAAGACTAGCAGCGTAGTCGAGACGACACGCAGCAGCAAAGTCAACAAGCTCAGCGACCAGGGCAGACGCAGCAGCAGACTCAAACGACGGGTCAGTGACAACAGTGGCTAGCAGACGCGTGACAGTAGGGTGCTCAGCACGAAACCGGTCAGACTCAGGGTCCGCGACGTCAGGCAAAGAGGACGCAGGGGGAGACGGAAGAGGAGTACGCTCCGGAGTAGGGGACCGACGCAGGGCTACAAGGCGTGTGCCGGGGACAGCCGGCTGACGCGGACGAGGAACACGACGACCGGTACGACCAGGACGAACAGGCGAGACAGGACGCGACGCAGGCTCACGACGCTCAGCAAGACCCCCTGTCTGCTCAGTGTAAGGAGAAGGAGCAGGCAGCGGTGAGCCAGGCTGTAACGGAAGACCAGTAGACGAAGGGAGACTAAGAACCTGGCGAAGCACAGAGTCAGGCGGTGGCTGAGACGACGGAGACGGTGGAGCAAAGAACAGGCGCGGCTGTGCAGTGCCACCAGCACCAGCAGCTCCAGCACCCCCAGCAGCTCCACCACCTCTAGAAGCTCCAGAAACCTCAGCACCAGCTCCTCCAGGACCAGCTCCACCAGCAGCAGCACCCCTAGAACCGGCACCCCCAGTCCCAGGGTCTCCAACCGCAGTGTCTCCAGCAGCAGCACCCGCAGGCTCAACACCTCCAGCCCCAGCAGCTCCAGTACCCCCAGTACGAGCACCGCCGGGACCAGCACCACTCCCAGCTCCAGTGACGGCAGCAGAAGTACCTCCAGGAGCAGAGCCCCTAGCTCCAGAAGCGCGACCCTGACGGCGACCGTACCAGTCGTGCAGCTGCTGTGAGGTGAGAGGCACACGCGGACGAAGGCGGCTACTCCAAGGAGACCGCGCAACAGCAGACTCAGAACCCTCAGCGCCAGCACCCTCAGCAGCTCCTGCGCCAGCACCCTCAGCACCAGTACCTCCAGCAGCTCCAGAACCTCCAGCGCTCGCACCCTCAGCAGCCCCAGAACCACCAGCTCCAGTGCCACCAGCACCAGGACCTCCAGCAGCTCCAGAACCTCCAGCGCCCGCAGGCACAGCACCCCCAGACTCATAGCTGCCAGACTCAGCACCCCCAGCCCCTCACACGCAGGCTCAGCACCTCCAGGCTCCACACCCTCAAGCTCCGCACCCCCAGGCTCAGTACCTCCAAGCTCAGTACCCCCAGGCGCCGCACCCCCAGGCTCAGCACCCCCAGAAGTAGCACCCCGAGCAGGACCACCCCCAGCAGGACCTGAGTCACCAGTGACCTCGACCGGCGCAGGTAAGGGAGGAGGGTCTACCTGAGACACACCTGAAGGAGCAGGACCGGGAGCGGGGAGGGGGTCTACCTGGGGAGCACCTGGAGCGAGGAAGAGCGGCGGGGGGGGGAGAGGGGCAGTGCGGTAGGGGAAGAGACGGTAAAAGGGAACCGACTCATCGAACGTGACGTCCTGAGACGCAAAGACACGGCGCGAGGTGGGGTGGTAAAACTGCCAACCAGGTGCGTCAGGGACAAAGCCAAGGAAGACACAGGGAACAGCGCGGGCGGAGAGCTTGTCCGCGGTGGTATCGTGGACAAAGGCACGAGCACCCCAGACCCGGAAACGCGACGCATCGCCAACCTTCCCCGTCCACAGCAGCGTGGGCGAGGTCTCCGGCAAGGAGACACGGGGCCAGAGGTTTAGCTGATGCGCGGCGTACCGGACCGCAAACGGCCAAAGAAAATGGGGGGCAGCCGCATGGATCATGGAGGTACGAGCGACCTCCATGACTAAGCCAATGCGGCACTCAGCAACCCCATTTTGCTGCGGAGAGGCCGGAAGCGTGAACGTCTGACGGATGCCGTGCTCCGCACAGAAGGCTGCCAAGAGGTCTGAGGAGAACTCACCACCTCTGTCAGAGTGAAGACACAGGGCGGGAAACTCCGTCCCGAACCGCTCGCGGAGCTGGAGACGGGCAGCGCGGATCCAAGGGATCAAAACAGCAGGGACCTCCCCCTTGCTGCGCAAGGGGAAGACCGTGGTGTAACGCGTGTAGTCGTCGACAACCAGCAGGAAGAACGGCTCGTGGCCCTGTCCACGGACGCGGGCTGGGCCCCACACGTCCAGGTGGAGAGTCTGCAGGGGAGCCTCTGTGGGAGGGAACGAGGAGGAGTGAGGAGCGGCGCGCTGCCGCCCCTCGACGCAAGGAATGCAGGGCGGCGCAAGCGAGGGAGGGAGGGCAGGCAAAGACCTGGGAAGACCAGAAACCAGGAAGCGAGAGTGCATGCCACGAAGGCGCTGCACCGAGGGGTGACCAAGGCGGTGGTGCCACAGGAGGGTCTGGTGCGACAAAGCGCGACACTCGCAGGGGGCCGCCAGCTGACCAGACGCAGATGCGGACGCAGCTACCTGAGGGGACTCAGTGGTCAGGGTGTACAGACTCGAGCCAGGCGCACGGGAAAACGTGGCCAGGTGTCGGCCCGTCCGAGCACACGTGCAGTGAGTCACTCGCTGACTCGCAGGAGTGAACTGGTGAACCCCCCTATCCTGGAGGTCAGCTCCACTCACCAAGTTTGTAGAGAACGAGGGGAGGTAAAGACCTGACAGCGAGCCAGACGGGGCGGCCGAACACGGCAGAACCGTGGAGTAGTGGGCAAGGACTGGACCCCCGGAGGGGTCCGCCAAGGAGACTGGAACCGGCTGACTAAGCGGCGTGAGTGTGGTGCAGTCACGAAAGAAGGAGCGGGAAGCTCCTGAGTCAAGGGTGAAGGTGTGCAAGACCGCAGCAGGCGTAGTACCAGAGAGAGCAGACTCACCAGCACCTAGAGCAGCAGCCTCACCAGCACCTAGAGCAGGAGACGTACTAGCACCTAGAGCAGGAGACGCAGTAGCACCTAGAGCAGCAGCCTCACCAGCACCTAGAGTAGGAGACGCACGAGCACCTAGAGCAGCAGCCTCACCAGTACCGAGAGCAGCAGGCGCTATACCAGGGTCAGGCGGTACGCACAGGTAACAGGCACGGTCAACACTAGTAGGCAATGCATACATGGCAGTGAGAATAGCATCATAGTCAAGAGCAAAGATATCTACCCTCTGTCCAAGCAGCTCCAGCCAGGCGGGGAGCTCAGCCTCGTCGCCAAACACGGTACGCCAGGCATCGCTCAGACGGGCGAAGCAGCGGGACTGTGTGTGACTAAGCGTCCCGCAAGGCTGACCAATCCTATCACTTGTGCGAATGACGTACGAGCAGGGAACTGTACTCAAAGACCCGCGACTCTGAGCGTACCACTCATGGAGCTGCTGGGACGTAAGTGTCTCGCGTGGACGCCGCTGCAGCTGCAGCTGGCCACTGCCAGACGCTCCCAACTGACCAGCTCCAGGGCGACAGCCACGACGGCTACCGCGACAGCCCCAACTAGTATACCACTCACTAAGCTGCTGGGGCGTGAGAGGCTCGCGGGAACGTCGCTGGAGCTGCATCTGGCCACCTGCTAAGAGCTGTAGTAGTAGCGGCAGCTCGGGCAGGCGCGGCAGGC